GCCCTTTAAAGGTCCCCTGAAATGCTTAGAAACACGCAGCGTTACTCTATGTGTTGATGTCATTTTAACTGAAACAGGAAGACAGGGCAGGACATATCAAGTAGCCCCGCCCCTTTTTAAAATAGCCAATAGCGTTCATTTATATCACAGCTTGGGCTAGAGCCGTTGAGCTCCGTAAAGCCGCATTTGACAGGGTATGCCAGCCACAATCTCATCCATATTGCTATAAAATATAGCATTCTGTGTAGAATTTAAATAGCTCCGATACATTTTGTGGTCTGCGCCGACTCGCGCATGTGATCCTCTCCGTGCTATCCTGTCTCTGGACAGGAGCAGAGTGTGTGTGCAGTGCAGTGCTTAGCGTGACACAGCGCGAAACCAGACTTCTTTTTTTCCTCAATGGAAAGCATATTTACACTGTTTGAATAGTTCCCTATCCCCTACATAGTGAACTACGTGCCATTCACTGTACAGAAAATACTAATTCTGTGGACAAGTGATCTATTTCAGCCACGGCTTCAGCGTCTATTTTATAGTGTAGGCGCTTCGGATTCTAGAGAGCATTTGATTGGACAGAAAGCTTGATGAGAAGCTGAAGTATGATGTGACGTCAAAAAAAATAATTGAGCCGTTTTGGCAGAAGTGACGAACTGCAAGCTTTGAATGCTTATATCTTCTAAATGAGAATTGTGTCACTGTTTTAGAGCACACTGCCTTATAGATAACCTTAAGACTAACATATTGATACTAACACCCAAAAAACTTTAATTTTGATTTCATGGGGACTTTAACACTAGATCTCTCAATTCTATTTCTATGTGCTTGTATTTTGTTTTTTTTTTATAAAAACTTGACCCTTTAACACCAATAATTTTTATTCTATTTCTATTGTATATACTTGTCTTCTTTTATTTAAAAAAGAAAAAACTTGACTCTCTAACACTAGCACTCTCTATTCTGTTTCTATTCTATCTACTTTGTATTCTTATTATTTATTATATATAAACCTTGCTACATAGATTATATTATATATGAACCTTGATACATACTGATTTAGACTAACCGGGCAGCATTTACATCTTGGTTCTCTATTTTTGGCTTAATTACTTATATTTTCCTCATTTGTATGTTACTTTGGATAAAAGCATCTGCTAAATGATTAAATGTAAATGTAAAATAAATGTAGAATACCAACAGATGTGATCAAATTATTCAGTAACCATGGTGATTAACAAATGGTGGGAAAACAGAGAAACAAAAGTGACCAACTAGATAACTAAGGCAGACAAAATATGAACTGAACACAATGAAAAAGAAATTAAAACAGAACATAATTATTACAGTGCTCTGTGCAACCCCTGTAGCTTGTGAGGCAGAAGGCACATTTGGAAGACACAGGGAGACATCTAGTGATGATACAGGAGATGCATCAGGTGGACCGGCTCCATCATCATCCACCACACTCACATGGACAACATTAAACAGTGAAAACAAGTTTATTCAATCCCAGTGCGTTGTTTTTTTTATTTTATTTTTTATTGATTTGCAGAATCTGGGGTATCTGCATTGCACAAATGGGAGGAACATTCCTTGTCAGGGATCTGGGTCTGGTGGTTCTTCCTCTCACCACCAGAGGTCGCCATTTCCCATCCTCCCGGACTCTTTCTCCTTCACTCCACTCACCTGTTTTCTCATTACCTCATTATTGATAGATTTGTCCCAGCTGTTACCCCGAGGCGGCGGGGTCCGCTCGCAATTCCCCCGAGGCAGCGGGGTCCGCTCGCAGCTCCCCCGAGGTGGCGGGGTCCACTCATAGTTCTCACGAAGCTGCGGAACTCACCATTTCCCGTTCCCAGGCGGCAGCCTCACACACACCGCGGTGGTGGCCTCTGGTTCTGCCCTGGGTCCCCATCCCGCCGGCTCTGCCCCAGTCCCCAGGTCCCCCTATATCACACGTACCCGGAACCCCCATCCATCCCCCTACTCCACCCCCGCTCTGTTGTTCCCCTGGTTGGGCGCTCGGGAACGTCTGGAAGCCGTTCCTTAGAGGAGGGATCCTGTCAGGGATCTGGGTCTGGTGGTTCTTACTCTCACCACCAGAGGTCGCCATTTCCCATCCTCCCGGACTCTTTTTCCTTCACTCCACTCACCTGTTTTCTCATTACCTCATTATTGATTGATTTGTCCCAGCTGTTTACCTGATTACCTCTTCCTCATAAGCTCCCTGTGTTTTCTGTTCTGGGCTTGTTTGTCTCACTTAGGTGTCGGTGCACACCTTTGATTTGTGTCTACCCTGTGCTCAGTTTATGTCTCGTGGTGAGCATTTGTGTACTCTGGCGTTTTCCCCTTCGGGGTGGTTTCATTTGTGTTTTTGTGTTATTTTGTGAATTCTAAATAAAGAACCCCATCTGCCTGCACTTGAGTCTTCGCCACTTCCGTACCGTGACATTCCTAGTATCTCCATTACAATCTTAGCAATCTCAGAAGATTACATGGAGGGCTGGCCTCCATATACAGTACCTCAAACCAAAAATTATTCAGACACCAGATATAATCTTTGATATTTTTTTTTTTTACTAGTGGGTGTAGGACACTATAGTTCATGTAAGTGAGGGTAGCAAAATAAAGTGAACTGTGACATATTATACCCAAAAATTCTTCATGCAGTGGAGTACCAGAAAAATTGAAAAAATGTAGGACCAAAAATGATTCAGAAACTTTGACCTGACCATGTTTTATCTTAAGTGTTTTTTCTTATGCTAATGCGACCTTTTTACACAACAGACTGAACGAAACTAAGCATTGCTTGGTTGGTTGACCCAAGTTGGTATTATCTAATTGTGTACCTAAATTGAACAGCTGAATAATTTTTGGTGGATTGTAATTCATTACATACCTTTCTATCAAAGTTATCTGACATTATCAAGATGAATATTTTCTGACACAGATTAACTCCGAGTTCTTGTCATATTGTATTACCATTTTCTAAACTATAGCGAATAAATGTGATAATGTGAGAAATGTTGAAGGTGTCTGAAATTTAGGTTTGACTGTGTGTGCGTGTACGTGTGTGTATATATATATATATATATATATATATACTGGGATAGAATATTTCTGTGCAATTACAATGACATATTAAATATGTCAATTAGCACATTCATTAGCGAAATTTAGTGACTGTCTTTAGTAGGCTTTAGCTACTTTACATTATGCCCTAAAAGTATGTACTGTTTGTAAATAAAGAGTAGATACTTTTGAGTGAGTAGAAGATTAGACCTAGGCAAGCTCTTTAACTATGTCATGAAATTGCGTTGTCACATAAGATACCTGCATTCTGTCACTGTAAATTTATCTTACCTTAATTTGCCAGTTGTGGGTCTTTCTTATGAGAACACTTTCTCCCTTTCAATTAAAAAAAAAATGCTGTTAAATAATAATAATAATAATAATGAGAACTGTCCCTTGTTGTAGCCTGTTTTATCACAAGCTTTTTTTCCCCTCTCTATTATTCAACATCAAATTGAGTTTTTTGTTTCTTGCCACAGTTGCCCTGTGGCCTGCATAATAGGAAACTCAATATATTTTGTATTATGTATGATGCATCTTGTACAAGTATTATGGGATAACAATTAAACTGCTTAGATGATCATGTGGGGGATATGACCAGTTTTAAACTCCATGATGTATATGCCTCATATAACTGTGGTAGTGATACACATTTGTTCATCATCACATCAAATTGTTATAAATTTAATGAAACCTTACAGATTTCCATATCACCGCACACTGAATTAACTCCAACTTGCAAATGGAAATATATTCATCGGCATACAAACAGTATACTTAAATAAAGCTATATATACAGTATCTCACAGAAGTGAGTACACCCCTCACATTTTTGTAAATATTTTATTATATCTTTTCATGTGACTACACTGAAGAAATGACACTTTGCTACAATGTAAAGTAGTGAGTGTACAGCTTGTATAACAGTGTAAATTTGCTGTCCCCTCAAAATAACTCAACACACAGCCATTAATGTCTAAACCGCTGGCCACAAAAGTGAGTACACCCCTAAGTGAAAATGTCCAAATTGGGCCCAATTAGCCATTTTCTCTCCCCGGTGTCATGTGACTCATTAGTGTTACAAGGTCTCCGGTGTGAATGGGGAGCAGGTGTGTTAAATTTGGTGTTATCGAAATTCGTTATAAAAGAATTGTTGCTCTACATAAAGATGGCGTAGGCTATAAGAAAATTGCCAAGACCCTGAAACTGAGCTGCACCACTGTGACACACACACACGTCTGGTTTGCTATCCTTGTGGGGACTCTCCATAGGCTTAATGGTTTTTCTAATGTACAGACCGTATTTTCTATTGCCCTACACCAACCCTACACCTTACAGGAAACTTTCTGCATTTTTAGATTTTCAAAAAACTTCATTCTATGTGATTTATTAGCTTGTTTACCCATGACCCATCACATAAGTCCCCATGAGTCTGTGTGTATTCAGGTTTAAGTCCCCACCAGAATAGAAAAACAGGTACACACACACACACACACACACACACACACAATAAAACAAATCTTTACTGCTTAACTGTTTATATTCTCACCTTATGTAAACATCCCTATCACCCATCTCTCAACTGCTAAATGTGGACATTTAGTCATTAGCATTATGCATTTCTGTAAAACTGCTTTGATACAATGTGTATTGTGAAAAGCGCTATACAAATAAAACATATGACACAACACCCACACATATTAAAAATGTGTTCTATTTTTAATAACGGAATACATTAAATTAGGCTGTAATAGCCTGCCACTGACAGTATGGTACATACAAACACAGCATTAGTTGTTACACAACTACATAATTGCTGAAATTATGCAAGTACACATTTAATCTCTTTCCCCACAGGACTGAAATACATTTTCATAAACAGAAGGATCGATTCGTAGTGTGTGTCCTCTGCAAGAAATTAGTTTCTATTGAGTCCAAACACACTTATGTTCTAACTGCTACTGTGCAGTTAGTAGGGCTTCCCTCCAAGGGCTGTGATGACCTGCTCTCGCTCCTCAGCGGTTGGCATATCAGGCTTTACTCCATCACACCTACGCTGCAGCATCACACCATGCTGAGAATGTGAAATACAGAGGGGTGGGGGGTAATGTTCTTTAGTACTTTTCACAAGACAGCATTTTAGAGCAGCATTACAGAAAATGTTTATATCAACAAGACCCCAGTGAAGCCAAAGTGACTGTGGTAAGAGGAAAAAAATGGGGATGAACCAAACTCAGCTAGGGGAGCCCATACTCCTCAAAATAACAAAAGAGTTTGGTAGACATCTGTTTGATTTACAGTGTATACTGTGGTCTTTCACTTTTGGTAAAGTGGATCAAAATATATGTCATAAATCTACAATACTGATCAGGGAACATTTAAGAGCCATTTCTAAAGAGATTGTTTAGTTTAGTCTTGTAGTTAGCCATGGTTCTTAGTTGGTAAAAGCCAAATTAAAATATTTAATATTAAGTTTGTTTACGTTACATAACTATAAGATGATTTTTATTAATGAAATGCAGATTATTCAATTGTCAGTATTGAAAGCTGGATTGATTTCAATACCATTAAAATGTACGTAAAGTGTGCACCTAACACTAGGAAAAATACAAGTATTGGATTGGGACTAGGTTTCAGTAGGATGGAGATCAGATGGGGATCGGGGTAGGGCTGGATGGTATGGCCAAAATCATTATGATATATTTTTCATATCGCTCAATATGAAAACTCGGCTCTTGTTGTTGACTCTGCTGCTGTGTCCAACATTTCTCAATTGTTCACCAGTTGTGCTGTCCTTATATAGTGCATTGCAGTTGGTTGCATTATATAAGTGCATTAACTGTTTTGTTTGCAACCAATAAAATAAGCGTTTATTATTATTATTATTCATTTATTTAATTGTTACAATTGCCTTCTGTGAAACTTATCACTACAAACTGAGCCTCAAAAAAAAAAAAAAAAAAACAACCAAAAT